TGAGCAGCCTAGTGACTTGTTAAACTAGTTTCTCCCCCCCGTTTACAGACTCCAGCAATGCTCCCAGTGACCCCATCCCTGCCTACGCTGCTCCTGCAGTTAATCATCCTCAAGAAGTTACGTCTTCTTTCCCATTTGATGTTAACTTCAGCTGGGAACCCCTCGATCCTGCTAGGCTCTGGGGTGCTCAGTTAGAGACCCTGAATTACAGGGATCGTTTCCCTAGGTAGCACTGGCCAGAAGAGTCACTGAGTTCCCAAGCCTCGCAAGGCTGTTCTTCCTAAAGCGCGTGCTGGGAGCCTACATCCCCAGCCTCGCTGGGTGCCAGAGCAGCTCAATGAACGCTGAGAAAACAAGAACCAGATTGGTAACATTTGTACAGCACGTAGCACAATGGGGTCCTGCTCCATCTCTCCCGGAGCTCAGATCCAGGGGGCTGGCCTCCGCCACTGCCTGCTAGCACTAGTCTGCCTACCCGGGCTGGGAGGCTTGTGCCCAGCCAGTGTGGACATATCCCAGGCAGCTACCACAATACAAACAGGTTCTAAAAGAGCCCATAGGTATCTAGTGCACACAGTACAGGATCATCAGTGCCTTAGGGCAGGGACAGTCTTTTTGTTCACCTACCACGGGGGGATCCCACCCAGGAGCAGGTCTCCTAGGCGTGACAGTAACAAACGGCAGCTCAGCGGCAGAGTACGCCGGTTTGCATGCTGATCACGCCTGTTATGGAACTGGCTTTCTACAGCACACGGGGGCCGTGGTTTGTACAGTGGCTACACACTGAACCATTCTGTCAATAGGTTTTCAAAGCACTAAAGTAGCTTTTCCTTTCAAAAGCCCTGGGGAGGTGCCTAGGGACAAACCGCCCTGGGGAGTCGTGCTGTGGGCTCCGAGTTAGACCCTGGAAGGGGAGGAGTGGGATGGATCAGTTCTGGCCTCTACACTCACCCAATAGGCACCTGCTTTGGTCTGAGCCCTGATCAGACTCCCAACAATCCCCCAAGGCCTCCAGCACTAGTGGCCTTGGCCCGCGGCACAGCACCCCAAATGTCCTGCTGCCCGCCCCAAGGGCAAGCCCACACTGCTTTCATGCAGCTCCCCTTACGGATGCCAGACATGGAAGCCTGCCTCTCTCTGCAGGGCAGAAGGATCATGTGAGCAAAGGGAGGGGAGTTTTCCTGCCACTGGTAAGATGGAGATTCAATGGGACTAATCGACTGTACATTTTACTGACATCAGTGCGTTCCCAGACAAGTGCATTAAGCAGGGGAAGTGGCCACCCGAATAACAGACTTACTGGAGCCATTAAGAGGGACACATGGCTAAACAGATTGATTGTGCTGCTATCCCCTGACCCCGCCCCTACAGTGTGTTACGGTCAGTGGCGGCTCCAGGCATCAGCGCTCCAAGCGCGTGCCAGGTGGCAAGCCATGGGGGGCGCCCTGCTGGTCCCTGCGAGGGCAGCAGTCAGGCAGCCTTCGGCGCCATGCCTGCGGGATGTCCGCCGGTGTGTGTCGTCACACCGGTCCCGCGGATTCGGCAGCAATTCGGCGGTGGGTACGCCGAAGCCGCGGGACCGGCGGACCTCCTGCAGGCATGCCGCTGAATCTGCGGGACCGGGGACTTCCCGCAGACATGCCGCCAAAGGCAGCCTGCCTGCCGTGCTTGGGGCGGCAAAAAAGCTAGAGCCACCCCTGGTTACGGTGGCTAGGCACGTTCAGAAACTGGTAGGGGAGCTGGGCCCGGGAAAAAGCACCTCGTGTTTGTTACAGTGCCCAGGGGTCTGCTAAGGCCTGTCGCTGGGCCAGGTGGGAGAGGGCGCTTTAGAGGAGTCTAGCAGGAGCCAACCCCTCCCGCTCACACAGTGAGGCAAACCACAGAGCAGGTAACACAAAGTCCATTTGGTTTTTATTTCTAACCCAAATATTGCAAATATACAGAAAAATCCCAGTACAAAGTCATTCCCGAGCCCTGACTTCTCTCACCAACAGACGCTGGTCCAATAAAAGATCCCCTCCCCCCCCTTGTCTCTCTAGTACAGTTATACCCCAGCCACACCCCTTCATCCCGTCCCCTGGACCTGCCCTTGGCTTGGACCCCGCAGATACTCTACATGGCAGGGCAGGGGCTCTGGCTTTAGTTACGTGGTGACATATCCCGGGCAGGGCACCTGGCACAGCATCCCTGTGTTGATCTGCCCTGCAGCCACGCTGGTAAGCCAAGGGTATTGGGGCAGCATTGGTGCTCAATGCCATGCGACAGCCGCCCCAGGCCAGTGCTCAGGCAGCCACCATTCAGCAGGGACCGGGATGCAGCAGCATCAGCGTGCTTTGCTCAGGGAGAGGAGGGCTGCCGTTGCATGGCCCAGGCCCATGGGGAAATGCACCGTCGCCCACCAGAACAATGACATTTGTCTCTCCCCAGGAATGCGTTGACCCCCTTGGCGTGCAAGCTTCCTGGGGGGCAGATGCTCTACCACGTGCATAGCGAACATCAAGGCTGCTGGGTTTGGGGGCAGGAAATGGGGCGGGGGTGTGCAAAAGAGACCCACAGTGTTTACCAGCTTCCTCGACAGCCTGTAAACGAGAATGCGCCTTCAGAACAGGTTGGTCTCAAGAGCATAAGAATGTGTAGCCAGTTTTACATTCATGCATCTGACCGTCCCATCCCCCAAATGCTCTGCTGCTGTTTCCCATCACAGGCTGGTGCCTGGAGCTCCAGCGACCGCTCTAGGATTAAGAGCCGTGGACGTCTGATTCTGCCCCAGATGGCTGTGCTGTGCAGTGCTTGAGACAGTCTGCAGGAAACTCCCAGAGACAGAGCAGCCGCCTTTCATTTATTCTTCAGCCTCTGGTCCCAGCTGGTGAGGAACGTGGACCCGGAGCTTCTCCTGGCGCTTTGGCCAGCTGCGGCTATTTGGCTGCTAGTCAAATTCTAAAGGAAAGCTCCTCAAAAGCTCATTCTTTAAAAAGAAATGTTGCTAAACCAAGTCTGGGAGCCAGAAACTCTCCAGGCAAACAGGCTAAGCTACTTCATTCCTATTCTACACGACCAGCTGCGTAAACACCTGCTGGATACTGGGGGGACAAGGGTAGAGTTTGGCAGTGTGTTGCCCAGGAAAAGGCACCCAGATCTGCCTTCACCACCGAGCAGCCTCTATCTTAGCCAGATCACATTCGCTCCCTTGCAATAGGCTACTCCAAAACAGCGCAGCTTCGGAGAGCAGCCTTCCAGCTGTATCTGGGGAAACTGCGCCTTCTAGTGGCCACAGGAACAGCATGGCTCTTCCTGTACATTTTTAAAGGAAAGCCTCAGTGTAACAAGAGTTCGGTAGCTAGAGCCAGATTTTTGTGAAGGTATTTAAGGGCTGCTCCACTCCTTGTTGCAACACTTAACTGACTTAGGAGCCTAAGTCCTAGTGTCTTTCAGTGAGACTCAGGAGCCTAAGGGTAGATCTACACTGCAATGTAAGCCCAGGGTTCAAACTCAGGCTCAAGCCCAACCCCCCCCCCCCCCCCGTTCATCTACACACAAATCATACTAACGCAGGGTTTGGACCCAGCGATCCAGGATCCCACGGGCTGGAGCATATGAGCCTGAGTCAAGCCGGGACCCAGGGTTCAAGCCCTATTGCTTTGCAGTGTAGACGCAGCCCCACTGGGGCTGTAGAAAGCACCCACAATCCTATGGGCCAAAGTTCAGGGTTCAAGACTTCCGAACCTAGGGTTACAGATGAGCGTAGACGCTCAAGCCCTACGTCTCGAGTTCCGCTAACCCAGGCAGTGTAGACAGAGCCCAAGCACTCTTGAAAATGACATTATGCTCCTAAATCAGCTGGTGCTGCAACGCTGAGCCCTGACAAGGCTGGGACTTAGCAACGTTAAGAGTCGCAATAAATGGGTTTAAAGTGTCAAAGAAGAGTTAAGTCAAGGGGAAGCTGCTAATGGGACAGTGAGATGTACAATTCCAGGCAAGCCGGCTCAGATCAAATAAGCCAAGTTTGAAAAATACCAGTTCTTGAGACTCCTGTCTCCCGCGTGCCTGGGGTTGAACTGTGTTCCTTGCATCTTGGCCTACGCTGGTGCCTAACAACGCACCGGCCGAATGGCAGGCCGCTGGGACCCAGCCCTGGAGAAAGAACACCAGTTATATCTGTGAGACTGTTCTGTACATTCACTTTTTATCACCCAGTCCTCCAAGTGCAAAGGCCAGCCAGGCATTGGCCTAGACACCCCCTCCGCAATCAGCAGGGCAGCATCTATTGCAGAGGACAACTGGACGTTTAAAAAGAGACATGGACACATTGCAGTGTACTCAGCCGAGTGGAAATGCGCCTAGAGCAGCAGCTTACAGTTTGTCAGGCGACATCACACCCAAAGGTGTTACCACTGGGAAGGGTGGGGCACTAAGGATCCTGGCCACATCAACAGCAGCTCTAGGAGCTACCAAGCAGCTGGTCTCCTATCACTTTAGGGGGGGGGAAGCAGGTGGATGTTCGAAAACTAGGAGCCTCTCTCTTCTGCCCCCTTAAGCGAAGCCATGGGGCTCTTCGCCAGAGCACTGACATTTCCACCTGCAACACGCTTCTCACCACCCCGAAGAACACACCAAGAAGCAGATTTATTCCTACCGAGTTTTCTGTTGCACTTATTCCTAGAACTAAAAATAACCCCTTTCCCTCCCCTGCTACTGCTGCCGGTGTTTGCAGACATGGTGCTTTCCCAGTTCAGTGCTTTGGTTCCACAAGGGCCAGTCCCAGCAGTTACTTCTGGCGCAGAGATGAACTCCACTTGACGCGCCGCGCTGGTTTCATCCCATCACTTCTCCTACGATGAAATCAAAGGCACCCCCCCACGCCCCCGTTTTAGCCTGTGGCCCTGCGGGGTGCTGGCTAAGCAACATGCCGTCCTGGCGGGGGCCCCGAGGCCTGCCCATGCTAGGTGAAGTGGTGGGGATAAGCCAGCGCCACCAGCAGCTTCGCCCAGCCGAGGCCATGCCGAGGCAGAGATGAGCCCCCGAGGGGTGACACTGGAGTTAAGAGCCTTCTCTCTGCAGCAGGGTGAATTGCACCTTCGTCATGGTTAGTGCTCAGTGAAATGCTGGTTTCACCTTCCTATTTAGTCTTCCTTAAAAAACAAACAGCTGGAAAGAAATCTCATTAAAATAAAGTTAAATTACGCCCACGTCCCCCACTCCCCGGCCTCTGGGCCGCCAGGTCGCTGCAGCAGCTCCCTGAATCCTCCCCGGGTCAGCAGCGCTGCTGGCTCTGGACAGTCTCAAGGGAAGCGACAGGAGGGTGGAGTCCCTCGGAAAGGGGTCAGGCAGCCACTGCGGAGAAATGTGGGCCGGAGGAGGCGTTTGCTGTTCTGCAGATCTGTGGCAGCGTCCAAACCCACTTGTCCAGTGCCAGCGAGCAGCGACGTGCCCCTACTCCAGGAGGTCCTGAGGAGAGAACACGAGTGCTCACCCCTCAGGGCAGACAGCGCCAGAGCCTCCCCCATCTCGGTCATATCCCAGCCCAGGATCACTCCCCTCCTGCCCCGGGAATGGGAGAGAACGGGACACCACACCTGCTGCCGTCCCCCCATGCTCAGGAAGCCACAGGGCCACTGGGAACTCAGCACTACGTGAAGGTCTCAGCCTGTGTGATAGCTAGGATGGTGGTGCCACCAGGACAGCACAAGCCCACTCCTCTGCCTAACAGCCCCAGGACTGAAGTCCTGTTATTGACAGGACAGGCACCACGGCAGTGCAAGCTTCTCATATGCGCCATGCGGTTCCTGGCCCAGAAGGCTAAGTACATGGGGGTGGGGGCAGTGTCCGGGGCTCAGCCAGCCGGCACAGGGGGCCCGCTGCACTATTCTCTCAGACAGACCACCTAGGAACGGGACTGGGACTGACTTATTTCACGCAGGCCATTCAGCCCACGTGGGAGTGACTTTCAGAGACGCTTGGGAACTAGCCCGCCCCGCCAAGGCTGAGTGGGAGACCCAAGATCAAGTGTTCTCCAAGCCGCTGAAGACATTCCAGGCCCGAATACGTTTGCAGCCCACCAGCTGCCCCATTCAGAACCCACTGGCCTGCCCACCCAGCCCCCCAAAGGCTCCTTCGGATGGAGCTGCTCCCTGGCCCGGCTCAGGGCCTTCCTTCTGCAAGCAGGCCAACCCCGGCAGTTCAGCCCCAACCAGCCTGGCCTTCTGCAGCTTGGGGATGACACTGAGTGGGAGGTAGGTTCTCCAGCGCCAGCCCTACTCTCCCTTTGCTGGTGGCTGTGGTCTGCACTCCACCAGGGCTGCTCAAACAAAGGCGCAGTTTCAGATGGCCCTGACATTCAGTCCCCTCCCTGCACGGGAGCAGCAGCCGTTCTTAACCCCATCCTTCCAGCGTCCAACTCAAGCCCTGGTTCCCCAGGACACCGAGGAGGACATGCCATGCTCAGGTGCTGCTCTCTGCTGCATCTGCATCACCCTCCAATCACCTACCTCGTCAGAATCGTCGTGGTAGCCCCCTTTATTAGCAGGGCTGGCTGCATCCAGAGCTTCAACCCCTTCCACCCCATTCGCCTCTGCGTGCTGCTGCAGGACGGAATAGCGATGGACCAGGAACCTGGGGGTGGAGCAGACACGGGAGTCAGGGACATGCCACGCTGTCTATTGCACCTCTGGCATGTCAAACAGCAAGACCTTCTAATGCCCTAGGAGCTTGGGAAGGACGGCAGCCAGTGCTGGGGGAAGACTTCCAGGCCTTTAAGATGCCCCGTACTATGCAGTGGAATTTACATTGTGCCTCTTCATATAACCTTGTGGTGGGTCTACCCACGTGTGACCTCTGTTTTCATGAAACTTTGTATCAAAGCCTCATATAGAAACCTTGTACTGATGAGCCTTGGTATATGGAGACTTTGTATCAAAGCCTCATGTAGAAACTTTGCATTGCCCTTGGTATAATATTATAGCCCCTAAGGATAGAATAAGATAGAAGAAAAATGTCTTTTTGCTAGCAGTAGAACAAGATCTCTTCCCCCACCCCCCCGACTCTTAATCAATTGCCCTGTTGAATGAATGAAGTGTGGATGAGCAAGGCATGGAAGGCAGCACCTCCAGACAGCCTCAACCATTGGAGAGGGGCTGGGAGCCAGACCCAAGGACAATAAAACGTGTCAAGTGGGCTCATTAAAGACAAGCAGACATACTGACGCCTCGGGGTTAGAAGCAAGCACCTTCTTTTGGAAACACCCTCTTTGCAGCATTGGGACAACCCCCAGAAGGAAGCAGCACAAAGGACCAATGGACAGAGACACAGATTTTGAATCTGGTACAGATTTGCATGAGAGGGAAGCTGCTATAAAAGTGAGGTGTCTTGCAGAGGACCCCGGGTCTCGTCTTGTCAACATGGGAGCATTGATC